AAGTTTTCTTTTTCTAATGTTAGTCACTCAACCATTAGTGTAAGCTTTGATGACTTGGGCATATCCCCAGCATGACATCTACGTGGCAACTCTGCCATTGCCAGACTGTGCAATGTTACCTGAAAATTACAGAGCGGTATCCTTACCACCAGCACCCCCCATGGTCTACAGATGAATAATGCTGGTTGTACATTGTGGGTTGACACTGTGGTTTACATTAATTCAAAATTGGGTTGAAAACTGGGCGGGAAAATCGATTGGCTCCAAAAATACGTTCAACCATTATACCCTGCCCAATCTAGCAATACAGGGTTTTACTCTCCACCTAATAACCACAGCAAAATGAATTCCCACAGCAACCCACATTCATCCCGATTGTGTACTCCCAAATCGAACGGAAATGCATCCCCATTTTCTTCTGCATAAAACCGAACAGCAACTGGAGGTTTGAAACAAACGTCGACGACCCAAGTTTGAACTAATACCCAAATCGACGACGGCCCACGACGCACTAAGTGTTTTCGCACCAACCATAGCTGCAGCACGAGCCGATTTTCTCTGTACCAAAACCGTTGTGGGAGTGTAAGCTTGCATTTATACCTAAATCGACGACGATCCACTGCGTTTTTTCCCACCAACCAACCGCTTTAGCACGGCCGACAGTGAAACCTCATAGACCAAGGGGTTTCAAAGCAAAAGCAAAGCAAAGAATCCAACCATTTCCATCTTTTGCATACAAATATTTCACTATTTTTGTTCTAATATTGGGCGAAAGATTGTATTGACATTGGTTATAAAGCTTGTTATTGTGCAGCCAAGTGATCGAGGAATATGGTTTTGCCTACTGGAGGTGACTCTACGGTCATTGGTCTTGCGGCTACTACAGAGCCACATTCGGCTACATATGAAGTGAAAGTGGATAGTGCTTTCATTGAGGTGATTGTAGAAGATGAATCGATTATAGGGTCCATGAATAAAAGAATTGGAGGGGATATTTCGAACTCCATGGAAAAGAAAGACCTGAAACATGTTATTATTGGCAAGGATGGTCAGCTGCATAATATGTATTATAATGGCATTGAGGACAGTTTGAAGAAGGGAAATGGACAAAAAGTCATGCTTTATCCTTTCTTCTATCCTGGTCAGGAAGAAAAAATTGCTACTGGAGATGCTACGTTTGACAATGAAGGGACTGAGGCTAGCTTCCTGAGAAATTCATCTGTAGTGCTTCAGAGGTAAAAGGGTGAAAGTTTTGACAATGAAAGTTTGAACATGTCATGGAAGAAAACGACCATCATTTGAATGAGATTGAAGAGTATGGATATGGGTAGAAGGGAGTGAAAAAATGAAGAGAGTGTATCTCTTTGTGGTGAATAAATCAATTTGATTAGTGGTGAATTATGCAATAGAAACAGTTTTACATTTTTGTGGTGATTATGCAGTACATTTTTGTGGTTCTTGTGGTAAGTGTGCAGTAGAAACATTTGTACATCTTTGGGGTAATACATATTTGTAGGTCCTGGTATTTATGCAGTAGAAAGACTTTGTATATCTTTGTGTTGAATAAATCATTTTGATTTTCAATACCCCTTTGTTTTACTTTTGAATTCATCCATACTGCCTCTCTAAAGGAGAAAATAATGATGTTCAAAATTGCATGAGACAACTAAATTTTATGCAGCAATAGACAAACCAATACACTTTCAGCTTTGATTGCAAATGAACAATAGCACTAACTACAGCAGCCAACTGCAAGTATCCATTCATTGAGTACATTCAACGTGATACCAGGTTTCACAGCAATGCAATTAACAGATACACACAAAAGCAACAGATCATCCATCAACTGTTTAGGACAATTGTGGACAAAAAGAGGACAATAACAATTTTATCCCACATAATTTCCAGCCACATTTCTATAAAAACACAAACACCAAACTGATTATCATTTTGTAATATGACTATCTTTTCCAAAAAGCACCAGCAGGCAGCAACAGAGAACCATCAAGCCTTCTTGGTCGTAGCATGATTATCCTTTCCAAAAGCATCGGCAACAGAGATTCCAAACGTGAATACTTTACTAGCAGTGACAGATGAATTGCTACCACATTTTTTGCTCTTCTCGGCAACTCTTCAGTTAAAACAGGGGAATTATCAATCTTTAATCCCTTCATCTCATTCAAGAGTTCAAACAGGGGGCTTTTCTGAAATTCAGGGCCCTTTTCTAGTCATCGGATTCAACAATGAGCTATCTTTATTAGTTAATCAGTTAAACAATTAATCTCCAAATCCAGTTGATCAGTTATTGAAGCACCTATCCGCCATTGTTGACCACTCGAAGAGCCCATTGCAATTTCACAGCAATTTCCATACTTTCCCAGCTAAGAACTGCATCACAACTGCCATCAAAGAATTCAGTTCAGATTGTTAATAATAAAATATTCCTCCTCTTTTCAACATGACCATTACTAGAGCACCCCAATGTGTAGACCAACCAACAACGCTGTCTTCAATTTACTTACCTGACACAGTGAGTTCTTGATGGTCGTCGACGGCAGAGAGGGACGAAGGAGTTGGATCGTCAATGGAATCGATGCCGCCTAAAAAGTGAGCTCCGGTCGGTGGAATCGGTGGAAGCGCATAGGGTTTCAACTTGGGATGTTTGGCTGAGGAGCAAATGGGTAGACAAGGGACGACTGTACGGGTATGCTGTTAATAAACCCATTTAGTTTTTTTTTTTTTAATAAAGCGTTGACACGTCATCGTGTCAAGGAAACTGTCAAACACCGTGTACGAGTAGCGCGGTCGTCTACAGATACAGAGGCCAATGTGCACGTACAAATTGCATTAATAGGAGGCATTGCTCATTCACTTGTCTTCTACAGCAGATTATTTCTCGAGGATTTGAAGCTTTTTGCAAATCCTCCAAGTATAAGGTGTTTTTTCTTCTTTTCTGCTTTGATTTTAAGTTTTGCTCGTTATCTAGAACCCTTGGTTAGGTTTTCGGGGAACAGGGCAGGGGGAAAATGGAGTAAATGTGAATGGGGAGTCCTGATTTTGCAATGCTTTCATGCTTTATTGATTCAAAATTTAATTTTTGCATGTTACAGAATGATCGATATTACCCAGATGATGTACTTAAGTTTAACAAAGCAGAAGAAAAATATTTGTTCCCTTTTTCCTTGCTTCTTTCTATTGAATTTTTTCACCATGAAAAAATACAGAAGAAGAAAATGTAAGGTAGGGCTTTCTCTAAAGCTAGTTCAGAGTGGAAACATCAGCACTATGAAGAGTAATATAATCAATGAGATAATACTGTTGAGGAAAATAAATAGAAATTATTGGATGTGTGAAAACCAGAGAATCCCTATAAGATATTTTGAAAACTTGAAGAGTGGAGAGAGGGGGAAAAATCACATGGAAAAATGAAATGTCTTACAAAGAAGAAACTGTCATTGACTAACATTTTAAATCATAGAAATATGATTGCCAAGTGAGAAAGGACCTTATATTTTTTTTCTTTTCTAGTAGATGTTTGTATATGGGACCTTTCTTTAAACTCTCCAAGTAGTTCGACAAGTTCACAATTAATTAAAGTTTGTCATTTCCTTATTTGAATTTGTTGAAGTGACTTTTATCATTTCCCTGCTCTAGTTTTGTGTTTTTTCAATTGTGTAGTCTGTAGCTATTTTCATTCTTCGGACTGCAGTGTAGGTGTTCATGGTATCTGGCGACTGACAACATCAATTTTCAACCTAAAGTTGTCTCGTCTACCTCCAGAGATCTGGTAAATGTTGTTGAGTTATTTTTGTCATATCTCATAATCAAAGCAGACATAGAAGAAAGGCTAGAAGCAGATAAATAATCTTGTGAGAGGAACTTGCTGAGAGTTAATGTATATGGTTTCCACTAATTAATCTGAGGTTATACTTTAGCTCAAGTTAATACCTTTCCTCTAAATTGTTTCAGGAGATGCATTACAACAGTGTCATTCACTCCTAGATCCCTAGTATGACGACGTCTCTGAAGATATTTCGCATAGTGATACTAACCTTGACGGACATAAGCTAGAGGAAAACTTGTCGCATTTTGTTACACACGAGTGCAAGTCTAAAATGCCTAATTTTTGGATTACTGGGTCCCTGTTAAGCTCTCGAATGTTCAAACAGAGCAGTATTGTGCTTCCCTATTTTCAAATTCGATGTTACTTTGCTCGGGTTTAAAGAGTGACTCAGTGGATGCCCTCCGGGAAATACTTATTTCAACCGTGAAGGTTTGGCTTTATTAGAAAATTCAATTAATAGTTAGCCACAGCCTTTAAACTGCTGGGATGTTGCTTCCGCTTTGCCTTTCAATACATGTTTTCTTGATTTTTTTAATTTTACTTTATTATTATTATTTTTTTTTTCATTTTGTTCACTTGCTATGAATTATTGGGTTTCATATTTCCATTTCAGTGTTGTGATCATCCTTATCTCGTGGATCGGTCTTTGTGAAACTCAGTGGTAGAAGGCATTCCTGTGGCTGAAAAATTGAATGCTGAAATTGAATTGAGTGGAAAATTAAATCTCCTTCACATGATCCTTCCGGAGATCAAGAAACGAGAATTAAGAATTCTTATCCTTTTTCAGGATGCAAGTTTAATTCCATGACATACTGCTTTTTTCTTGTTTTGCATTTGGGCCAACTTCTACTTTAACATCTTTTGAAAGATTCTTTATTGATCAAAGTCTAACGAAGATCTCCATGTTGGTGTCTATCATTAGATGTCTAATTTTTGTCACATACACCAAGACATTAAATGCGATATCAGGAGTTTATTTGTGCCTTGATCAAGGCCACTTGGTTTTCTTATCACTTGTGGTTCATTTAAATGGATTATATTAACAAAATGCTACTCTTTAATATGTTGTGATGGACAGTCACTTGTGGGCCCTGGACTGATTTCTATTGGAGATAGTTTGGATGACATTATTCATGAGAAATTTGGCAAAGATTCTTATGTACGCATTGGAGGCGGGATGTCTCCAACCAGAAAGCGAACTGCCTCGAATATGTTCAATGATAAAGAGAACAGGAAATTTGTTTGCTTGATGGAAACTCGTGCCTGTATCCCAAGTATTAAACTTTCATCTATAGATACTGTAATTCTATTAAACAGTGATTGGGACCCAATGAATGACTTGAGGGCTCTGCATAAGATCAACCTTAGTTTGGGTCGTGAGCAGCTGAAGATCTTCCGTATATATTTATCTTGTAACTTGGAAGAGAAGATACTAATTTTAGCCAAGCAAGGAACGACTCATGAAGGTAATATGAAAAATATAAAGGAAAGTACTTGTCATGGGCTGCTTACTTGGGGTGCCTCCTATCTATTCCAAAAGCTTCATGAGTTCCAAGACACAGATTCACATTCAAGTATTTCTTCTGGGGAGACGTTTATGGAAGATGTGTGTCATGAACTCATAGCCTTACTGCCTAACAATGATCCGAGCAATGACTCTACAAACTGTTCATTCATTGTAAAAGTCCAAGAGACTGGAGGGATTTACCCCAGAAACATCTCTTTAATTGGTGAAGTTGAGTCATCTTTAATGGGGGATTCTCCATAATCAAAGATATGATTGACAATGAACCCCATGTTTTCTGGATAAATTTACTTAATGGGAGGAATCCTAGGTGGAAATATTTGTCCAGTCCATCGTCAAGGGCTATAAAGAAAGGCAAACGGCACAATGATTTACGTGAAGAACCAGAAGAGGAAGAAAAGTCTAACAAGAAGTGCCGGAAGGAGGCCAGAAGCACCGCTAATCAAAGATGTCCTACGGACCTTAAACCTAGGATGAAAAAGAAACTCCATGCTCAATATAAAAAAAGAAAATTTTCAGGTATTCCTGCGTTCTTTACTTGTTAATTGACCTTCATTCTCATACCCCCCGGACTGTAAGTGTACCCCATTGAAGTATTATTATTTATACGAGTACATTTAGCAAAATTGTGGATTCTCGAGTCTCTCCTGGAAATGACATGTCTTGTGTAGTCATAAATAAAGAAGCTCATGCTCATACGAGTGGGTGGAGTGATTTTGATCAAACGGTTAGAAGAGGGTGAGGTGGACCAATCATGTTGTGGTTGTGAATGTGGATATTCCAGGAGAGCTGACCCCAAATATATTGAGCATAAAGCTTAGTTTGTCATTGATCTTGTATCTACTTGTCCATTGATATTAATAATATTATGAATATTAATCATGTAAAATAGCAGTTATCTTTTTCTGTTCAAATGTCAAAAATTTTGTTTTTACTGTAAATTATGTAAGGATCTTCTGTTGTGATTATTTGTATCTAAGAAAATTGAATGTTCTGTTATCTACAGTTTTACAACACCCCTGCAACGAGCCTCTACAACCTTCATCAAGCATGCCATTAGCAATGACAGGAGATCGCAGTGAACTGATTGTTACTAATCTTGGAACCACAAATGCTTCTCTAATTTCTGGGAACAAGGACCCTCCAGAAGCCAATCGACTTACACATTCTGAGGCAAAACAATCTGTCTGTTTATCTCTCCAGCGGGAGTTGGAAAGACTGCAGAAGGATAAAGACGAAAATTTAAAATTGCATGATGATATGGTTTGTCTATCTGGTTTTTTGTGTTTCATTTCTGTATTTTTCATTGTTAATGCCATACAGAGTTCTTCTATCTTCTGTGATGTAATCAACTTGTAGAAACTATGACTAAAATTATCTCTAGAGGAGGAGATCGATCAGATAAGTAGAAAGTATGATTTGTTGCTTCATATTGCTGAGACGGAATTTGTGGTGAAGAAAGAAACACTTGAGACAAGCTACAAGAACGTTTACATAAAGTATTAGCTGAGACACTGATGCAGAACCAAGATGTAACAGGTGCGACTTGCTCACAAGAAATGCCCAGTGGTAAGCACTGTGATAGGATCCCCAGTTTCTGCTGCTCAATTAATGGCTGCTCCTGGAAATCTGCAAACCAGCTGCGTAGAAGAGATGCTGTTGCTGTGAAACTAGGATTTGATGTGTTAGTATTTGTTGGGGTGAGATGTAATATAGATGGATTGATGAAATTATTTGTAAACCAAGAACAATTGTATTGAAGATTGTATTGATATTTTCACAGAATGTAAATGAACAATTTCCAACATTCGAGAGGCAGGATTCTCTCTTAATTGGCTCAACCACTACTCAATATTTGCATCCCCTAGAAATCTGCCAATAACAAGCTCACTTGGCCTCTCAATAGTTCAGGCATTGAACCAAGCATCAGCTTCTGCAAGGATAGTCTCAAGACCTGATGAACTGTCGCTAAGCATTGCAGGGTTTCACTCAAACATTAACAGTTCAGTCGACTGATGCAAATACTATCTCAATGAATAGTCCACACATGATCACTTGCCAGTACAGCTTCCTAGGACTTCACCCGATCTCTTGACAGCAGGCAACACATTTTCCAACCCGAATTTCCCTCTCAGGAAACCTTGTGGCTGGATATGAACTCAGGGCCCCTGCTCCACATCATAGAAGTATGAGACCTATTTCAATCTCAGGACCCAACCTCTTGTCTTCTCCAAGCACAGGGATACATTTTCCACCACCCATAAGTCAATCTGTACAAATGCAGCATGTTTTCACATCAGTTCCTGCAATTCCACATGGCGAGCAATTCCTGTTTAGAGATGTTTCATATGCCAGCTCTCCCTATTTCTGGGATTTAGACAGAACGTGAAATTCTGAATATCATCATAGACGGATACTGTTTTTTGTGTTTCTTTTTCCCAGGTTTCAAACATTCAATTGTAAAATAGAAATTTTAAACTTGAAAATTGAATTGTAAAATTTGCCGATACTGGAGAGGGGACGGGAGGGTCGCCTTCTTGTATATGCATTTCACTCCGTGGAAATTCAATTTAAAAGTTGCTCAAAGAAACTTGTTAATAGTTGTCATGGGTAAGTTCAGAGATTCCAAAAGCCTAAGAAAGCTTCTAGACATGTTTGGCAAGATACACCTTTAAATTGCCTTTTGTTTTAACAAATAACTTGCTTCCAAGTAGGAAAAAAAGTTACTTATTTAAGAGGAAAGTTTTAACTTTTAGCTAAACATGCTTTGGCAACTGCTAGGTAATGTTAACGATTCTGAAAATGTACTAAAAAAGAATAGCAATCATAATAATTAATATAATTATTAAGTTAAAAGTAGGTTAGGTTGAAAATTATTAGAATCTGGAAACAATTCAAAAAAAAAGAGAGAGAGCAAATAAGGAATTCTTTCAACAAATTAATTACTTTCCATCAATTTAAGAAAGATTTAGCAAAGCCCCAAGAATATCATGAACATGGACATGACTTATTTCTCTTTTATAAGCAACATTAGTGGACGATCCTCTTACGAAGCCATAAGCTAATGGGAACAGTTTTTGAAAGAAAATATAGCTGGAAACTTCTTCCTGTTGAAAAAAAACCGAATATACACATGCCCAACACTTCTCAGAGATGGTCGCAAATTGCCTTGGTGAACTCGGTTGTCTTTGAATTACCACCAAGATCGCCTGTTCTATACTTCCCTTCTGCTATCGTTTTCAACACAGCATCCTGGATTCTATCTGCTTTATCGTGAAGCTCCAGATGGCGCAACATTGTGACGGCGCTCAAAAGCAAAGCAGTTGGATTTGCCAAATTCTACATGGACTCGACAAACATGAAATGACTGATAAATACACAGTTTTAATAAGGAAATAACATTGAAATTAAAGAGATCACGTAGAAATGAAGTCAAAAAGTTTAGGGAAAGAGCAATGAAAAAACAGTTTCGAACATATGAATACATAAAAGGAACTCAGCCAAACAGCTAATTGAAATGTTGTCTACAACTCACCAAGAAGCAAGCATATTACCGCACAACTTGGTAGTATCTCATTTAATGCAACAAAGTTCAAGTTAAGGTTTATTGAATAAGTTATAACAGGCACACATTCTATATTCAACCATACGTCTTTCCTCCCCATTTAACCAAATAAACTAACAGACAAGCACGAAATTATATATCCAACTCAACGAGTTACCTTCTTTGTAATCAAGCAAACTAAACTACCTCAAACCTTGCTTAATGTTGAAGAAGTTCAGAAACACTCCAGCGAGAGGCAGATAATTCAAAAAGATGAAACATTGTCAATAGATAAAAAAGAATCATACGGCTGAACCGAACCCTAACCCAAGATGAGTTCTCACTCCTCATATTCCACTACTTTAACCTCGTACCACATTTTCAATAGCATAACCGATATAGAAGCTCATCTGAACCAAATTGACTTGTTAAGAACATAAAACAAGCCATAGTTGTAACTTGTGCAACTGCATATATCTTTAAAACAGCCTGCCCAAGGTTAAAGTCCTAAATCACCGATGCAGTTGCAAAAGTCACAACTGCAGCCACATAACTGATTCAAGAAGCAATAAAATCACATGGAGAACATCACACATAAATGAAAAATTAGCACTGTCAATTCATGCAGCAAGGAGTAAAGAATTAGAGTTTCTTTGATGCAAACCTTTCCAGCAATATCAGGAGCAGAACCATGTACAGCCTCAGCAAGAGCAATACCTCCCTCACCAATATTGCAGCTGTATAGAGGAAAAATCAAGTAAGAATATTTGATGTAAGTGACCATTAAAAGACCAATAGGTTAGACGTGCCTTGGTGTTAAGCCCAGGCCTCCAATCAAACCAGCACAAAGGTCACTGATGATGTCACCGTAAAGATTAGGCATTACCAGCACATCAAAAAGTGCTGGATTCTTCACCAGCTGTACAACGAAAGAGAAACGGTTAACTAAAACATAGTTTCACACTTTTCTTCTTAATGAATTTATTAGGGAAATATAGCTCATCTTCAACGTCATCTTATTGTTAAGTTGAAGCATATTGGTGCAAATAAGCTTCCATAAGCTTCTTCCACAGATATCATCTTGCACCAAAGAAAATTGCATACAAAGAAATGGACAATCTCTCGTACCATCATACAGCAATTGTCGATGACGACTTCTTCATATACTATTTCAGGGTACTTCTCTGCAACCTCACGACAACACTGCAAGGTAAAAAGGGAATTCAACAGGTAGAAACATTAGAAAAATAAGACCACCCTCAAGCTTTTGTCTGAAGGCAGACCTTAAGGAAAAGACCATCAGTTTTCTGCATGATATTGGCTTTGTGTATTGCAGATACTCTTTCTCTTCCATGAGCCTTGGCATAGTAGAATGCATACTCTGCAACCCTCAAACTTGCTTGACGTGTAATGATCTTGAGACTTTCGACAACACCCCTTACCACCTACAGCCAAATGCAAGGAATTCAATCAAATTCTGAGTTTCATTTTTTTATTCAATGACGCAAATGCTTTGAATATAAGCTTACTTGATGTTCAAGACCACTGTACTCTCCTTCCGTGTTTTCACGGATGGTGACAAGATTTACATCATCGTACTTAGTCTTGTACCCAGGTAGACTGTAGCAGGGTCTAACATTGGCATATAGATTGAGCTCCTTCCTCAAGGTAAGATTAAGAGAGCGATGACCTTTCCCAATTGGTGTGGCCATTGGCCCTTTCAAACCAACCTTGTTTTGTCGCACAGATTCAAGACTTTCCCATGTTAAAAAACTCTGGGTTCTTGGATCTATCTCCGTCCCCACATAATGTTCTTCCCACTCAATCGGCACATCAGCAGTTCTGAATACCTGAAATTTTCATAAAAACCATCCTCAGGACTAGTATTTTGGCTTCTATAATTGACACGAGAACTTGTGGAAGAGAGTGTCATGGATAGCTAGCTTTATTGTAGTTGAACCCTAGACCAGAATAATACCATTTCCATGTAAATGCAAATGTTAAAAGTATTGAACTTTACGACTTCCATCATTCAGAATTCCGCTAAAGCCAAAGAATACAAGCAGAATGGACATTTTTTTAATACATATGCATCCGGACATGCAATAAAGACATGAGAACATACATAAATATGCATTAAGATAGTAATTTTCTCATTTCCCACTCATTTCCGGTCAATAGACTATCAATGTAGTCCCAGTGGATACGCATGCATAAAATAGAAATTTTAATAAAAGCTAGCTCACCTGCACAAGTCACTTCAAAAACGCTAATGATATACGCGAAAGCCACATTATTTAACGATTCACTTATTAGTGAAATTAGGCAGATAATGATGGCTCAAATATAGATAAAAATAACAATAGACATCAAAGAAAACTCGTGAATAAAATGGAAAATTCAACATAATACAGCACACACCACTCAGGAAAACCTAAAGAAACACATCATACACCAAAACCACATTCTTTCACCGCTCACCCAGTTATACGAAAATAGAACAAAATTAAACAGATAATGAATTATATATATAGTCAGATTGATAAGCGTGAAGGGACCTGTTTGACAGATTCAGCAATTTCAGGGCCTATTCCGTCGCCGGGGAAGAGAGTAGCACGGATCAGATTGGATTCGGATGAGAAGCTCCGATTGAAAAAACTAGGGTTTGGGGAGGAGGAGGATAAGATCCCGTCGAGTCGGCTACGAGCAAGTCGTCTCACGATTTGGGATGCCATTGACAACAAGAATTATTCAAATAATCAAATAACAATAACAAAATTTCTAGTGTGGGAGGGTGCGCGACGCAGAGCAATGGCCTTTCTACGTGTAAATGGGTCGCCCGGGGAAGAGTCAGCGTCTTTATTGTTACCAATGGAAGATTGGCACGTGCCTAGAAAAGGGTAGTTCTGTCTTTTTGGAGTGTTGGGCTTGGGTTTGGGTGTATTCGTTTCGATAACCCACTAATCGCATGGTGGTGTGATATTTGATATAAATTAATATCTTTAAGATTATTTTTGAATCATCATTTATATTTCGATGAATTTAATGGTGCGTTTAATTGCGAGTATGAAATTTGCATAAAAATAAAATAAATTTAAAACAATTCAATTGTTTATGAATTATTTTTTTAAAAATTATTAATTAAATGTGTTTAATTGATTTAATTTTCAAGTTTGAAAATATTATACTTGTCCAATTTTTATTGATTGATAGATGTAAGAGTATGTTTGATAGTACACATTTTCTAGGAAAATAGGAAAACAATTTCCATTTTCAACACGATTTGGGATGCCATTGACAACAACAATTATTCAATTAATCAAATAATAATAACAAAATTTCTAGTGAGGGAGGGTGCGCGACGCAGAGCAATGGCCTTTCTACGTGTGAATGGTTCGCCCGGAGAAGAGTCAGCGTCTTTATTGTCACCAATGGAAGATTGGCACGTGCCTAGAAAAGGGTAGTTCTGTCTTTTTCGAGTGTTGGGCTTGGGTTTGGGTGTATTCGTTTCGTTAACCCACTAATGGCATGGTGGTGTGATATTTGATATAAATTAATATCTTTAAGATTATTTTTGCATCATCATTTATATTTCGATGAATTTAATGGTGCGTTTAATTCCGAGTATGAAATTTGCATGACAATAAAATAAATTTTAGGTAATTTAATTGTTTATGACTTATTTTTATAAAAATTATTTATTAAATGTGTTTAATTGATTTAGTTTTCGATTTTGAAAATATTATATTTGTCCAATTTTTATTGATGGATAGATGTAAGAGAAAAGGAGAAAGTGCATTATGTGGAAAATAAATAAGTATGAACTTAGGGTCCGTTTGATTGCATTAGTGAAAAATGGGTAGAAAGAAAATGAATTCCAGAAAAAGTATTGTCTAGAAATTATTTTGTAGGGAATTGTTAATTAAGTGTGTTTGATTGATATAATTTTTCACCCAAAAAATTTTAAAATTTTGAATTTTTTCTGTATTCGTTTGACTTTATTTACATGAAAATTGTTCATTAAAGTGATTATTTTTTCACAATTGGTTATAAAATTTCTTTCCATTGCCAAAAAGTAAAAAAAAAAAAAAATTGCTAAAAATCATTTTTTTAATCAAAATTTAGTGTTCGTTTGATTTTATTTTACATGCAAATTGTTTATTAAAATGAATTTTTTTTACAATTGGTTAAAACATTTGTTTCCATTGAAAAAAAAAAAAAAAAACTGAAATTCGATTTTCCCATCAAAAGTGTGGGAAAACCAATTCATCAAAAAGTGGCAACTTCGGAGCTTGAACTGAATAATCGGAAATCATTTTGCCTAGAAAATAATGTTAATCAAACAAGTCAAAATCAAGAATATGGAAATCAATTTCCAAGTTCCATGGAAAAAGATGCAAATATTGTTTCTATTGCCAAAAAAAAATAGAATTCGATTTTCCCATCAAAAGTGTGGAAAAACCAATTCATCAAAAAGTGGCAACTTAGGCGCTTGAACTGAATAGTTGGAAATCATTTTGCCTAAAAAATAATGTTAATCAAACAAGTCAAAATCAAGAATATGGAAATCAATTTCCAAGTTCCATGGAAAAAGAAGCAAATCAAACACTACATATTATTTCAAAATTTAGGGGGAAAAAAAAAATCAAACATCATCAACCTTTCGAAAATGTAGTAGAATCTGTGCGATCATGCCCAAGTTGGTCCTTCATCTTTTAGAATTGAACACTTTTGTCACTAGTTCACTGTTTCCAATAGCCCATCGGCTAAATTTCCATCCACTTTTGATCCCTCCAACTTCTATTTTCTTCAAATTTGATCTTCGAAAGTGTTGATAATGTTCAAATTGATCCCCAAACTTATTAAAAAGTAGGATTTTTGGTCCAAAAAGTTGTGAATATTTGCACTTTCAAAGCTTCCAATCAAGTCCAAACTTCCTGTCAGATCTTCAATTTCTTCCTTTTAACTTCAATTAAGCTCCAATTGACCTCCTCTTGCTTTATTCACGTTTGAATTGTGGGTTTTTCATATAAAAACAATATGTGAACTAACGTGAGTAGAAATTTAAATAATCAAATATTAAGTAGACTTATAATTGACCACCATAATTTAGAAGACTAAGGCGCCCCATTGGTTTCGACATATTTGTAGAATGCTTTTCTTCAATTCAAGATTTTAAAAATGGTTATTCTACATTAGTTTCTATTAAATTTACTTGTTTGAGCAATGTTTTACAAGTCTAATCAAATTTACAAAAAATGTTGGTTGTCTCGGGATTAAATCCCTGGTCAAACCAAGGGCGCCAACTACCATGGCGCCCCTGGTTTGATCAGGGATTTAATCCTGTGACAAGTAGCATCTCTCTCAAATTTAAATGGCAAATCACTTTCAGCCGTTTAAAATGAAAGAAAAGAAGAGTGAGTACATCTATAAGAATTCGACTCCCTAGCTGATAACAAATTGAGTAAAGCATATTGATTGGTCAAAGAAGTTGAGGACTAGCCAATAAGCTTAATGGGTCGGTCTCTCTAACCACTTTAGTACGAATCATCATCAAGGGACAAGTCAATGTATATGGAGTCTATGAGAACTATGGCTAATAGAACTAATGCACCTTAGAAACCATTCTCAATAATTGTCCGAGCACTCCATACATAACCACTAAAAGTCAATCCCAGTCAAACTGGCCGAACTCCTCAAACAACTAAGTTGACTCTCATGTGCCAATGATTGTACAAGGTACTGGTTTACAGTCACAAACTTCTTCAAAATATTACTTGAAACAAAAGCTTAAAATATGTATCTGGTTATCCGAGTTAAAATATATTACAATCTCTCAAAATACAAGTAAAATTTGCGACTATAATGACACGCAAATTATATGCATCGTTATTAAATAGTTACTACAGCCACCAGAGAGAACGTGCTCCACATTCAAGAATACCACCCTCGTTCCTCGTTGCACTAAAGTGAAAACGACGAGATCTTCCTATGAAATTTAAGCTTGACTTGAACATTTGAATTGATTTATCAAACAACATTTTGTTCACAAACCAACATTTTGTTACAGAAATCATTAGTCACAATGCTAGGAACAGGAATATAAAGCAAGAATGTATAGATTACTAGAAACCCACAAAAAAAAAAAAATAGAACTAGCAGATTGGAAGAGGTTCACCATTCCAACCATTAAGGCATTCCAGCAATGGATCAATGATCAGACCATTGCTCATAGCCGTGAACACCTTTTCACACTCCTCGCCTGGTGACCTAACCTTCTCTCCGGTCAGCAACTCAGTTCCCAGTTCCTCCCTTACAAACTTGTACAATGGATAGGATCGACATTCCTTAATCCTGTTGGGAATAGCGGGATTTCCATTCTCAAGGGCAGTTCTTGCACCCTCGACTTCTTTAGGCAAATTGGCATTTAATTCATCTTCGAATGCTCCGATCTTTTGGAAGATGGATGTGTTGGCTTCCTTTTCAGTTTCACCATTTTTCAACGCGTGCTCAACGAGGACTTGCCTGAGTTTTTGCATCAACGGGTAGGTTGCGCTGCAGGGATCATCAATGTATGCAAAAACATATTCGCGATCAACCACACGAAGCAAATCCTTCTCACAGAATCTTGATGGATGAAGCTCACCATTAACACCAACTGTTAAAGTTTTCTTAGCAACTTGGCTAACTGTATTCTTAACAGCATTCCTCAAATTCTCCTCCAAGTGCCTTAAATCAATTGCTTGGCACAGTGCAATTAGAAATGTGGATGACATGAGCTTCAAGATATCAACAGCCTCAGCTGTTTTTCTCGAGGAAATCAAACCCAAAGAGTTCACATCTTGATTGTGTTGCTCGGCACTTTCGACATGGTTGGTGACAGGGTTTGCCAAGAATTGGAGTTCTGAACAGTAAGAAGCCATAGCAATTTCAGCCCCCTTGAAACCATAGTCCAAACTAGGATTTCTCCCTCCAGAAAGGTTAGATGGCAATCCGTTGTTGTAGTAATCATTGACAAGTTCAGAAAATTGAGCAAACATCAGCTTCCCAATTGATGCAATGGCTAATCTAGTATTGTCCATGGAGACTCCAATAGGTGTCCCTTGGAAGTTGCCACCGTGCAACGCCTTGTTCCTTGAAACATCGATCAAGGGATTATCATTTACTGAATTGATTTCCCTCTCGATCATTTTAGTTGCAGAACGAATCACTTCAATTTGCGGGCCAAGCCACTGAGGTGATGTTCGTAGAGCATATCGATCCTGTTTTGGCTTCTGCAACGGATCCATTTCATGTAGTTTCTGAGCAGCCTTCACATAGGCGCTTCCATCCAAAATATATTCCATCACAGCAGCAGCCTCAATTTGACCAGGATGGTGCTTCAATTTGTGCGTCAAATGATCAGTGAATTCAGGTTTCCCATTCATCACTTCAGCGAAAATTGCTGATATGACTTCAGACAAAACAGCAAGAACGTTGGCGTCAAAGAGAACAATTGAAGCCAATCCAGAGCCAACTGCTGTACCATTGACAAGTGCAAGGCCTTCCTTAGGCTGCAACTCGAAAAATCCTCCATTGACACCGGCAAGCTTGAAGGCCTCCTCGGCCGTCATGGTTTCTCCTTTGGGCCCTACGGCCTTGGAATTGTGGCGGCCAGTAAGTAGTCCGGCAATGTAGGATAAAGGGACAAGATCACCGGATGAAGAGACTGTGCCACGGAGGGGTAAGAATGGAG